AGTAGGAATAGCAGGTTGCATTAGCCATACTATGATTTATTTCACATGGCACTAATTGATTTTTGGCCCTATTTCCATGTGTAATAGAAAAGTAAGGTACTTATCAAATAATTCACTCAAATAGATCCAGTTTTACATGTAAATAAATATTACAATGAAAATACCTTGGAGAACTTATCTATACGTTTGTTTTAACTTTATTCTCTACATTCAAGTATTGAGAAGCCAAAAACACTTTAAAAAATTTTTTCATTTTTGTTTTTAAATAAGGGGATGTTTAGCTATTCTCACATTTTCTTAAAACAAAAGTGAAATATTGCTTGCCATATGTTAGGTATATAAGACTCTATTATACGAACAAGGTTGGATATTAATTATTATAAAAAGCTACAAATCCAAATTTTTTTTCATTTCCATAAGAACTTATTTATGATGGCAAAAACATCAAAGATAATATAAATACTGTGCTTAATTATTTATTCCCCAAACTGAATTCTTGATCTCTTGCACCCATCTGACATACTCCAACCCCAATCTTCCCCATCTTTGCTAACATAGGCAAATCCAATTTTTCAGTTTCTCAGAACAAACACTGATTATCCTTGATTGCTCTCTTTCTCTAGAACCCTAAATCCAATCTGTCAATAAATCACCTGGTTTTCAAAATATATCTAGAATCTAACCATGTCTTAAGGCCACCCTAGTACAAGCTACTCTCATCTTTGGCCTGCATTATTGCAATAACATCTGCCACTCTACAGACTATATTCAACCTGGCAGCCAAGGTAACCATTTGAAAGCTTAAATCATATAATGTCAATCCTCTGCCAATAGTCTCCCAGTCTTAGGCTCACAAGGCTTTCCACCATCTGGCCTCCTTGTGCTCCTCTAATCTTGCATCACACTATTTTCTTTTGGCTCACTCTTCTTCAGCTAAAATGGCCTGCTGGCAGTTCCTTCAACATACCAGTCCTGTCCCCACCACAGGGCTTGTACAGGCTGTTCTGTCTGGAATGCTTTTTCTTCAGACAACTGCAGGTATCTCCTTCACCTTCATTATTCAAATGCCACTTTCTCAGTGAGGCCTACTCCAACTGTCCAACTTAAAATTTACACCTTTCCCATTCCTCCCATGCCTTGTCTCATTCCATATTCCTTCCCTGTTTTTATGATTTTTTCCCCCATAATGTTCAGGGCCTTCTAATAGACTATGTATTTGTTTTATTATCTAACTCCTCCTACTATCAATAGAATGTGTGACAATCGCATGAATTTCTGTCTATTTTGTTTACTGATGTATCTGCACCTCCTAGAACAGTGTAAGACACATATGGTGGGCCCACAATAAATATTTGTTGAAATGTAAAAGGTCGTTTCCAGCATGAGAGTATTACATATTGGATTCCATGGTAGTGGGAACAACTAAGTTTCTATGTGCCTGGAGAATTCAAGGGCTCTTTGAAACCCTGATAATTCTATGATTCCCTTCCCGTTCTGACTCTCAAGAACATGATCGTTTTCTCAGCAGCTAAACACTGATTTTAAAAGATCCTGGAGTGTTAAACCTACAATGAGAGGTCATGATTACAGTTCTACAAGCTACCTAGTAGTGCAATTCTTAACATTTCTTTTCTCTTCATGTTCCTTTTCCCACTTTGAAATACATGAATGCAATAGGAAGGTAGGGGAAGCCGATTTGGTTACACATGAACAGCTTTGTAACCACCTCCCCCACTCCCCCGCCCCCACTGTATATCAGTAGATTTGATCCATCTTTTCATGTTGGTTTTTCTTTTGAAATGTGTGATATCAGTTGAACATCCAAGTTGGCCTAAAACAAAAGCCTTGCATGTTCATGTACTTTTGGACAGCAAAAATGCTGAAATTATTTTGTACAACTTTAGGATCCACCCTTTAGCCATTCCCATTTTAAAGAAGCATAGAATTTTAGGGACACATGGTTTTAGTTCATTTGGTTCAATCACCTTATTGTACAGATACAAAAACTGAGGCTTGACTGACCAGGTACCATGGTCTGGCCTGTAATCCTAGCACTCTGGGAGGTCGAGACAGGAGAATCTCTTGAGCTCAGGAGTTCGAGACCCGCCTGAGCAAGAGCGAGACCCTGTTTCTACAAAAAATAGAAAAATTAGCTGGGCAAGGTAGCACGTACCTATGGAAGGTTGAGGCAAAAGGATTGCTTGAGCCCAGGAGTTTGAGGTTGCAATGAGCCATGATGACACCACTGCACTCTACTCCGGGTGACAGAGCGAGACTCTGTCTCAAAACCAGCCAACCAACAAATAAAAACAAACAGAAAAACAAAAAACTGAGGCCCAGTGATGTTAAGTGATTTGCCCAGGCACAACAGAGCTGAACAATCTTTTTGGTCAGAACAACTTGCTCTAAACATAAAACAAGATACCTTTGATATTGCAAGTGAAACATAGTTCTAAATGTCAGAAAATTAACTGAATATAGTAACAATTTAACAATTGCAATATGCAGTTCTAAACAATATGCAATTCTTTCCAGTTTATTTCCATGGTGACAATTTAAGCATTAAAAAAATCTAAGGCAAATATAGCAAACGATAAAATAATTGATAAATAGGAAAATAAGTCTCCACAAGCATCCTAACAAATAAGAGTCATAGATCACAAGAGGAGGAATTTGCAGGTCATCTGAAGTGAACAATCCCTGTGGCATTCACATGAGAAGAAACTAGTTCTACAGAATCATGGAGATATTAATAGTTCTATATTTGCCACGGCTTCTGCTATTCTTTCGAGAATGAGGGCTTCTTTATTACCTAACCTAGTAATTTTTAATAAGCCAATGGGCATTTCTACTTTGATATGAACACTTTCTTTTTGCACTAGTGAGTCTACATGAAGGTTATCATGCCAGAGGAAGGTAAAAGTCTACACTAATGATGCTTCATTTTCCTTTAACAATTTTGTTCAGGTGATGGAGACATTTTTGTGGAGTGATATGATGTTTGGCCTCCTGATGTGTTTTCCACGCATGCTTTGGAAAGCTCTTATTTTTCTGAGAAATGATAGTCATCAAAGTCTTACCTTCAGCAAGAGCTTCACTGTTTTAGATTTGTTATAATTAAGATATCACAGTAGCATTGCTAGTTTAGGGTATTTTATACTAATCTAATGGAAAAATATTTTTGACCCTTTGTGTACAGCAATGCTTTCAAACTAGAAGCAAAATTATATCTAAATCAAATTTTAAAAAATGGATTTTAAGATTCCAGGAGGTAGGAACACTAGAACTCAGGTAACTTCAAAACTAAGATCTCTGCCAACAGCACAATTCACAGTACTCTAAAAGTGAATTTTTAAGGTCCCTGTACCAGTGCCTTGTTTCTGTACCAGTTCCTTTCTCCATGTCTCACTTTCATTAACTCCTGTTGTATGTGGTTATATGTAGGCTAAATAAACATCAGTAGTCTGAGAATAAGAAGATACAGGTTTTATTCTAATAAATTAGGTCAAATCTGGTGAAACTCCAGGAACCACTATGGCAACATTAATTGAACCTAATTTTAATTGAAATGATCTGCTTGGAATTGTATTTCTTTAGATGTGATAATTTGTTTTTCTCTTAATTTTCTGTTAACTATTTTCTTGGAAACGTACTCAAAAGAGTTTTTCAACTATTGTATAAACCAGTCTTCCTCTGTAAGAAGTTATTACAATTCTCATTGTTATTTTCCCTTATACTGCCCACTTTGCCCAGCATTGAATTGAGCTCTGATTTACACATTATACTAAGCTCTCACATCCTAAATATATTTATCCTTTTGGAAGTTTACGTATTTGGCAAATATTTAAGTGTTGGGGAGATTAAAGAGAACCAAACACAAAATTAAAAGAAGGCTCAACTACAATCCACAGAGGAAATAACCAAATAAGTTGCTGTTTTAAACCACATAAGCAAATAGGAGGAAGGAAGGGATTAATTGGGAGATATATACAGTATTCATACGCAAGAAAATAACTTAAGCAGTAATGCTTAAAAAGACCTGGTGAAGGTTAACAGTTGAGTCCCCATAAAATACAGCATATTATAATATTGGACACAGGATGGACGTGAGGCATGGAAAATCAATTCCCTTCCACAAGCAGCCAAAAAGAATGTTAAAAATATAAATAAGACTTCAAATAATATGAGTGAAACTAAAATCATTGTCTTAAACAACTGTTATTTAATCAACTACACCTGGATCGATCAAATGTGAGACGCCAAGGCGTAGAATTCAATATTGGGGGTGCAAGATTTAAAAATGAGGAATAGGTCAGAATCCTCAAGAAAAATAAACACAGGCTCGTCCGAAAAAAGCCTTCAAGTAGAAAAAGCTTTCGATAACAAAAACATAAACGCCTGAGCTTAGTAAAATGAGTTGGGGAAAAATTTAATTGCAGACCACCTCCCACGGCCTCTCGAATGATTGTGTGCAAGGGCAGGGAGTGAAGTACGCGGGGCCGGCGGGAGAGCTGGTGTTTCACCGTCCCAAGAAAGGGTTCCCGGTTGACACGCCAGCGTTGCAGTCCTTTGGGGAGATAGATAGTCTTTGAGATCTCTCCGTTTCCTTCCGCCATTCTAAAAGCACAATTCGGCTACGATCCCCGTTCACCCCAATCAATTCCTGAAGAGAAGGTTACATCGGCCGATCTCTATCCTGGAGTTGAAAATCAACTTCCAGTGTCGGTCACCAAATCCTTCAAAAACCCTAGCTCTGTCAGCCCCATTTCTAAAGCACCCAAGCGTTGGACCGAGAACGACCTTCGGTTCGCAGCTCATCCCCACACCTCTCCCAGCGACCCCGAGTCTACGCCAACCGCTTTGCTCAGCTCAGCCCGCGCCCGCGCCCGCTCCTGAGGGCCGCGCACGACGCCCCGCCCTCGCCGAGCGTGGCGGAAGTAGCTTACGCTAGAAAGCGGGCCGCACGCCACCTGGTTGAGCGCGCATGCGTCCGCACAGCCAGTGGTGGGGGCGTCCGTATCGCTACCTCCTGTTTCCACAGCCCCCGCCCCACCGAGAGAGTCTCGCTCACGCCATCTTGCGCCCCCCCCCACATACAGCCCAGTCACCTTTTCTCTTTCTACAGTTTCTACCCCCCCCCCACTTCCAAGCGTGTCCCAGGCGCCGCAGCAGCTGAAACCGCATCAACTCTACCCCCACAATCTCCACGCGGGACGCGCAGCCTTGCCTACAAGTGTTCTTAAAGCAGAGGTTGTAGTGGGTGTGGGGGCGGGGCGGGGGCTGCGGGCTGGGGAGAGGTCAGGGAAGCCAGAGTGGGGTCGCGCGGCGAGCCCGGCGTCTCTAGGTCCCTGCAATGGCTACTTCCTGGGCCGGGCTGGAGGGCGGCAGCCGGGCAGTAATTGGCGACTGTGCCGGAGGGCTGAGGGAAGGCGGCCGTGGGAGGCCGGCCCGGCGTCCTGGTTCCCTAGCGGAGTGTGGAGTCGACTCCTGACTCCTCCCCGTCGGCGGGTGGGGGTGGGACGAGGGGAGCCGGGCAGACGAGCAGCAGCGGGGATGCTGGGCTGTGCTCCGCACCTTTCGCCTGTCATCTAGGTAGCGTGTGGAGGGGGCGTGGAACCCTTAAAGAAGGAAATTGTTCCTTTATGGCACGGTGGCAGAAGAGTTAGGCAGCGTTAGTGGGAGTGTAGCATTCAGAAAAAGGAAAAGATCGACTCAGTGTTTTGGTTTGTAAATTGGGGATCGTTATAGCCCATTTCAGAATTGTGAGAATTATGTGAGAGAATACACGTTAAACGCTTAAAACAGCGCCAGGCGCTGCTCAGTACATGTTGTAATTACTCTTGATCTCCATGTTTTACGAGCTCGGAATGACTGTGACCTTATTTTCCCAATTAAAATCGGGACACTTGGTGAGACTGAAGTTATGGGGACAGTGGAATATAATAACATCTGACACTCAGACGATCCTCGAGACATAATGATACTGTAAATGTGGTAAATTAGCATGCCTCCATGAGGATAGTAGAAATGTTAAACTGTTTCATTGGAAAGAAAAATGTATTTATCTGGGAGGAGAGGACCTGGGTCTTACTGTATGTGTGGGGCAGACCTTGGAAGAGAAAATAAATTTGATCTGCAAAGATTTGCTTGAAAACCAAGTTCAGGACAGAACTGGTGGAATTTGTTGAATTGTCCAGAGAGGCTGAATTTGACTAAATTTATGAGTAACAGTTTCGTGGCAGTACTTTGCAAAAATACAATATACTTCATTGTGCTGTTGCAAGTTTCTTGTCTCAGGATATTCTAGCAAAGTGTGTCTAAATTTAGAGCTGCACTGTTTAGTAGAACTTTCTGCCATGATGGGGGTGTTCTATAATCTGTGCTGTCCCAATATGGTAGCCACTGAAGCAGAGTGGCTCTTGAGCACTTGAAATGTGGCAAATGTCACTGAGGAACTTTCTTTTAAATTCTACCTATTAATAAAATGTAAATAGCTAAGTGTGGCTAGTGGCTACTGCATTGGACACCATAGGTCTAGAATCTAGAAAGAGCCCTTCCAGTTCTTGATTTGGTTGAGTTTTAAATAAGAGAAGCCAACTCTTAGAACATTTATTGCCTTAGGGAATCATAATTATATTCGAATAATGCCTTTCATTGAAATATTATTTCAAAGCATGTGTCTGTTAGTACTTACATCTTGACAAATTAAAGCAAAGCATTCTTTTGACTCATAGGTTGTACAGCTAATGCTAGGTTTAATTGGAGAGCCATGACAACACTAACTATTAATCTTTTCTTTAAACATTATTGTACTGTATTGTGATCATAGGTTTCTCCTGTCTTTTACCACTGTGGTTAATTTTCAGTGAAAGCTTTTCAACTCTTTTATTCCTGAAGTTTTTGCCATTTGAAAGATGGTGCTCTTTTTTTTAACCTTTTTGTATAATAAAGCAATTGAATAAATTGTAGTAGTAACCCTTGAGCATTGGGACAATTTAGGAGTAGTTTTGTGATTATCTGTATTCAAAACTTTTGACAAGATAAGTGAAATTTGGTGATAGATGTTTTAAAAGATTACTTTCTTGGAAATACATGCATCTGTTTTTCTTTCTAAGGCAAGTGTTTATAAAGTCAAGGTTGAAAATAAAACTTAAAAAAACTTTATAGATAGCACTCCTAACTCTGGTCTGATGTCTTTTGGTCTCAAGGCTGAAGATAATCATTACATCTGGAATGATAAACTAAAGCTCATCAATTAAGTCATATGCAGAGAATAGGCCATAATATACAAATCAGAAGGGGTTGCTCTTCTATAGGGTGACTGTATACCTTAATTTTTCTGGGATAGTCATGGTTTAAAGCCTGGTTGACCCACCCCAATTATTAATAGAGCCCTTTTCACTATCAAAAGTGTTCAAGTTGGGACCACATAGTAATATGGGCACCCTACTTTTAGACTTACTGAAATTCATAATAACTTTAGAAGATTGACCATATTGAAATCTCAGAAATATACTTGCTTTAAAATAGTAACAAAATTATTGCTTTTGTGCTTAAATAGGTAAAGATAGATACCAGGAATAAGGCCAAGTGACTTGTCCATTTAAGCCACTGGTAATTTGAAAATTTTGCTCTGGATAGACATCTTGGGCACCTTGATTTTGGTTCTCTCTGAAAAAAATCGTCTTTTGGTGTAGGGAGCTGCAAAGCATGTTAGGCCATGTCAGCCCAATCAGAAGATTGAGTATTTGTGTTAAAATAACACTTATTTTATGGAGAGGTTGAATAGTGAAATCATTTAGAAATCTGCTTATTATGTATTAGAATGTTTTTTTTTTTTTTGAGACAGAGTCTCGCTTTGTTGCCAGGGCTAGAGTGAGTGCCCTGGCGTCAGCCTAGCTCACAGCAGCCTCAAACTCCTGGGCTCAAGCAATCCATCTGCCTCAGCCTCCCGAGTAGCTAGGACTACAGGCATGCGCCACCATGCCCGGCTAATTTTTTTTTTTCCCCTCTATATATTTTTAGTTGTCCAGATCATTTCTTTCTATTTTTCAGTAGAGGCAGGATCTCGCTCTTGCTCAGGCTGGTCTCGAACTCCTGACCTTGAGAGATCCACCGGCCTCCCGGAGTGCTAGGTTATAGGCGTGAGCCACCGCGCCTGGCCTATTAGAATTTTAAAGAAGGATTTTGCTTATGGTTTACTTAAATAATGATAAATAAATCAGCCAAATGCATTATTGTATTAAAATTTATACTGTAGTGGATAAAATATTTTATCGAGGGTCTGAAACACTTGATTTGAATCCTTACTCTGCTATTTACTAACAATGTGATTTGGGCCAAGTTGTTTAATCTAAGAAGCCTGTTTCCTCATTTTAAAAATGAAGATAGTAATAGAACCTACTACTAGGTTCATAAGGATTAAATGAGGTAACCCATGTGATGTGTTGGATGCAGCTCAATAAATATTAGCTGCTGTAGCTTTAAATTTATTCGATAATAGATCTAGAAGAGATTTTAATGTTCTGATATGTACTGTGGATTGGTCAAAAGAGACTTAAAACCAATTCTGAAAACCTAGCTTTTGCCCTTTTCTGCCATATTCTCTTTGTGATTTCAGTTAAGGTATTTAAATTTTCTGAGCTTCAATTTCCTCATCAATAATATGGAAGTAGTGCCTAACCTCTTCCCAGTTCCTCACAGGATTGTTGGTGGGCATTAAATGAGAAGTTGATTTATAAATTCTTTTCTTATTTTACAGACACTTTTATGTTTAATTGGTTTTGTCTCGTCTACCTGTAACCCCTGGTAAAGACAGACGCTAAATCTGCAAAAATTGTTTTTTATTTTGTGTAACAGCATAGATAATGTATAATATGCATTATCACTGACAGTGCTCTTTTTAAAATAATACTGTAAGTTACAATAATGGTGCTTTATTGATCTGGTTACAATATATTCTCTATACAAAACAACTCCATACTAGTGATAGGGGAGTACCAACATTTTCTCCGGCACTTAATGTGTTCCATCCATTGTGCTAAATACTGTGTTTCATTTATTTATCCAGACATATGATTCCTACCTATTAGGTGATATAATGAAGCTCTTTTGGGATTGGGCCTGTCAGGTTCTTTTTGTACTGTATTACTGCCTCTGAAAATATCTGGCTTATAGTTAGTAGATATTGAAGGTTAGATAAGATAATGAACATGAAAATAGCATGCTATTTGACATGTGGTATGTGGGAGTTACTGAAAAGCCATAGTCACTGAATTATCGGGCAGTAAATTGAAATAATTTATGTAAATTTACTTTGTAATCTGTAAAATGCCATACACATATAAATTACTGAAAAACTTGAAGTGTACTTTTATTTTAAATGCTATAGCAGTTTTATGACTGAATCCTATATAGTTCACTTTATTCATATCTTAGCCTTTAAGAAAAGACTACTCTAAATCTTAACATTCTCTCCTTCAGAATATACAGCATGTTTAATGATAATCCTTGTGATATGTTTGTAAGAAGCTATACTTTTGCTTAGATTCATCATCATCATTATTGTTAGCATGAACTTAGTGCCTTATATGTACCAGGCACTAAGTGCTTTCCATGCATTATTTCATGTAACCTATGAGAGTATTTTTAATCTCCATTTTAGAGATGAGGGCACTGAGGCAGGGAGGTGGCATGACTTGCCCAAGGTCACATGGTAGAGCCTGTATTTGAACTCCAGAGCCCAGCTCTTAGTGCTACACTGTCGTTCGGTATAGGCAGATATTTCACAACACAGTTCACTGTGACAAACAAATTGTGGAGGTCTTATGAGTTAGTTATGATGAACTTTTATTTGTATGTTCCTCGTTGTGTAGTAGAAAGAACTCTGGACCAGGAGTCAGGGGACCTCAGTTTAGTGCCAGCTTGTATCACTAAATAGTGGTGTGTCCTTGGGCAGTGCAAGAAACCCTTCTGGACTCCAGTTTCCTCACCTGAAAAATGAGGGATTTGGGTGAAATTAGTGATTTTCAAACTAGTTCTGAAACCTGCTCAGTTGTCTTTGGTTCCCCTCCCGCCAATGTGCATAGTTATACTTTTATCTGTTATAGTTGTTTATCCATCTGCCTAAGATTTTCTTTTAAACAAAGAATTCCTTAACTGTTTAAACTCATCAGTCTTCAAGATAACTTAATGACAACCTAAGTCTCCTGACTGCTATGTGTACAACTCTTCATTGTTCACATTATTTTAGTGTGTTAGGAGGAGATAGGCATCTTTTACGAATGAAAAGAGGAAGGCACCCAAATGACAGAGTGTTTTGTTAAAATATAGTACGTCTAGATGGACTGAATATTTCAGGTTATCAGTTACCTCGGATCAGAGCATATTCTTTATTAGACTTCTGATCTTCAGCCAAAATTTTTACTATTAGTTTCCTCGTTGGTAGAGGGGAAATACTTGCCTTGTAGGGTGATTGTGGGAAAAATGTGAGCTAAAACAGGTAAAAGACCCTTTATAAACTCCAAATTCATCTATTTTTCACATGCTACAGTGGATCTCCCATTCCTTTTTCTTTTAGTCACATAAACTGTTTTTAGCATCATATATTTTCTTGAATTGTTTATGTTTAATACCGCATTTTCGTAAGGCTTAATCTTTCTAAAATGAGTCTAGACTGGAAGAGAGTCTTTAATGTTTAAGGGACTTGCTCCTTTTTTTGGATATCTTAGTCAAATACACTTACCTCTTACTATTAGGAGTATAATTGATTCCAAAATTTTCCACACATCTGAAAAGTTAACCATTAAGTCACTCAGTTAATTTTATACATAAACAAGTGTTTTAATATTGGAAAAGTAAACTTTGCTGTATGCTGTTTGTTAGGGTTTGGAAGTTGTGTATTTTAGGATAATCTGGTAGGCACATTTGCAGTGCACTTTAGGGACCTTTTTTGCAAAGAATAAATTTTTTTTTGAAACTCAGTTTTTCTGGAAGAATACTGAATATGAAAGCACATAGAATAGAAACTTACATCAATATGAGACTAAAGAAGAAAAATATGATACTAAAACCTCCTGTGTCTGAGCAGTCTGTCACTGGCCTCCTGTGTCTGTAAGTTAAAAAAAATTGCTCATGTAGCTAACTAGGATATGTAAATGTACAGTTTATATATCTGTATCTATCATCTAGAGAGAGAGAAGGGGCAGAGGTTTCATAGTTTACAAGGTGTTCTGTAATCTTCAATTCAGATACATTTTTTTTTTTTTTTTTTTGAGACAGAGTTTCACTCTTTTGCCCGGGCTAGAGTGAGTGCCGTGGCGTCAGCCTAGCTCACAGCAACCTCACACTCCTGGGCTCAAGCAGTCCTCTGCCTCAGCCTCCTGAGTAGCTGGGACTGCAGGCATGCGCCACCATGCCTGGCTAATTTTTTTTTTTCTATATATTTTTTAGTTGTCTGATTAATTTCTTTCTATTTTTAGTAGAGACGGGGGTCTCGCTCTTGCTCAGGCTGGTTTCGAACTCCTGAGCTCAAGCAATCCGCCTGCCTTGGCCTCCCAGAGAGCTAGGATTACAGGCGTGAGCCGCCGCGCCCGGCCCAGATACATTTTTTTCAATGTCCATTATGTGGTAGGCTCTGTATTGTTCTTAATACCCGCATGAGACAGGAATTATTCTTGAGAGATGGGGGAACTGAGTTTGCAAGATTAGTTGATCCTTATATGAGGTTCTATTATTAATTATCCTTAACAAAAACCCTATGACCATGACTTTTATTTCAATTTCCTACCTCACAACATCTCTCACAAAGCTTCTGCAGGATTTCATCTCCACTTCAATGTTTGATAGTTATCTCAAACTTAACATGGTCCCAACTGAACTGGGTTTTTTCTTCCCCGTTTTCGTGATCTCATAAATGGCACCACCACTCAAGCAGTTGCTTGGGCCCCAGACTTCAGAGTCATCCTTGACTGTTCTTCTCGCAGACCCCATGTCTAATCCATCAGCCAATCATCTCTGCCTTCAAAATATATTCCAGAAATCTGACCTCTTCCCACTGGCCTATTATACTTTACGATGTGTAACTTCACTACAATCAAAACTTTTTTTTGGTAGCAGTATTTTCTGAGGAAAGGGGTCTATCTTAAATTCCATTGTTTTAAATTAAAAGATAAATGCTGGTCAGGTGTGGTGGCTCATGCCTGTAATCCCAGCACTTTGGGAGGCTGAGGCAGGAGGATCACTTGAGTCCAGGAGTTCGACACCAGGATTTCAAGACCAGCCTGGGCAACATAGCGAGACTCTCATCTCTTCAAAACAACAAAAAAAAGTGGGGCATCATGATGCACACCTGTGGTCCCAGCTACTTGGGAGGCTGAACTGGGAGGATCCCTTGAGCCCAGGAGTTCAATGCTGCAGTGATCTATAATTGGGCCACTTTACTCCTGCCTGGGTGACAGTGAGACCCTGTCTCAAAAAAAAAAAAAAAAAAAAATTTTTTCTCTGAAACACAATTTTACAGGTGTAACATAGTACTGGCTATTGGCTTAATGATCAGGT